GTTCCTTGAGAGGGTGTGTAGTAGGATAGTCTCCTGGGCACTGGGAATATCATGGCTCTGGTTCAGAGACACGACACGTTCGGGCTCAACAATGTGTGCTAAGCATACGCACATACTCAGCGGTGGTGCTGTTTCTCTTGCAGAGACTCCGTTGCCCTTCCTGCCTGCATTTGAGCATCAGTCCCCATCTGGAGACATCCTGAGCCCCACACATGGCTGTGTGAGGGGCTGGACCATCCAGGATAGCTTCCCTTACGGCCTGGTGTCCCCAGGGCCAGCCGGAAGTGGGCTCAGGGCGCCGGGATGGCTGGGCCTCTCCCGCAGGGCAGCTGGACTTCTCACTTCTTGCTGGCCAATGTAGGGGTCCCCCAAACACAAAAGTGAAATCCTACTGGCCTTCTTAAGGCTTAGGCCAGGAATGGGCAGCCTCACTCCTGGGTACTCAGGAGACAGGCTGGCCCAGAGTGTGGGTGAGGGGGGCGAGTCACGGATGCTGGGGGCCCAGGTTATTCTCTCTGGGGACCCTGGGCACTCCCCCAGCAGCCAGGCTTCACCAAGCAGGACCCAGGCCTATCTTTCCCTGCGTTCAGAGAAAAATGTGAGAGAGAAGGGCTGAGGGAGCTGCACACTCCCCACCCTCCTCCTTCCCCCCAAAGTGCTGCTCTGCTTGCTCGCCCTGCCGGAGCAGTCCCTGCCGCTCACCGTCGGCAGCTCGAGCTCCTTAAATGAAAAACACCCCGCAAATCCGGTAAAGCGCGTTTTCAGAAGCGAAGCCTCAGACCAGGGAGGGTGCGACCTGGGCGGAGAGCAAGGCTGCCGAGCCCAGAGTAGCTCCGGCCTCGGGTTCCGGTCCCGATGCCAAGCCGCCCTTCCCGGCCCCGGCACACTGGCCAACGGCCCCGAGCCTCGCGGAGGCCTGACGGTGGCCAGACTCAGCTTTGCCCAGGCAGGGGGGGTGGGGGGCGGTGGCGCCCGTGCTGGAGGGGGCGTGGGGGGGCGGTGCCCAGGCTGGAGGGGTTGGGGGGAGGCTCCCAGATCAGGGGAGTGTGTGGGGGCGGTGCCCAGGCTGGAGGGGGCGAGGGGAAGCTCCCCCATCAGGGCTGTGGGGGGGGGGGGG